CGGTTCTTGACTAAGGGCTGTCTTAATTTGAGCGATAACTTGGCTTTTCAGGAGGGCGAAATTAGGTGTGGAAGGACTCTGATGAGGAGAAGAGGGGGTGCCACCATTCGACGAAGTCGGGTTAGTTGTTGGGGGGGGGGGGTTGACCCCAAACCTAACAGACTACGAACCGCTGAATAATTAATAGTGCGGTCAGAGTTTAACAAGGGGTCATGTCCGACTAAATCTAAAAAACCTTGCTGACTAGCTAAATCATCATTTTTATTATTCTGGTTTAGTCATTGGGTCAGAATAGCTATTAATTGATTATCATTAGCCATTAAGGCTTGGCGGAAAATATCAGCGGCGGTTGCGGGCGAATCACTACTAGCAATTGGCTCAATATTGTCAAAATGTCCAAGAATATCAAAGTGATTAACTCCACTCGTTGCCAGTTTAATTTTGGCTTTAGCGGAACCAAATTTAACTCCTCTAATTACTATTTTTTGCTGGGGTTGGAGGAAAGGAGAATTACTTCTAATATTAACAAATTTGACAGCTTGACCATTAATAAGTAAGGTTCCCTTCACTTCCAAGGTAAAAACATCGCTCCCAGGAGCAATTGGTTGTGCGGCTTGAATAGTAAATTCGGGGGTGTCTATTTCCTGTCAACGGGGTGGGAGAGGAGGAGGGTTAGGTTGGTTGTTAGAACTATGAGCAGAGTTAGGATTAGCAGTAGAAGAGGAACCCTCACCAGTGTTGCGTCGTCTATCATTAGCTATGGTTCCAAATTGTCGCAAGGTTAATGTTTTGCCACTAACATCAATATTATTTCAAACCACATTCCGAATGGTCAATTCTCCCCTTTTATTTTCTAATTCGCCATGAAGTTCGTCCGCTTCACCATTACTAGCACATTCTAATTCAATATATCTAATTGGAAAGTTGGTAAATCTTTCATCTAATTGTTTTTCTTCTATTCCTAAATAAACACTTCGTCCCTCACGAATTGGCGGGCGACTATTATTAAGATTGACAGAAAAATCATTATTTCCTCGTCAGACATTAAGATTGACTGTGGAAGTATCTTCCCTAATTGCTAATATATTTACTCCTAGTTGTTGGTAGGATGATTGAGCTTGGTCATCAAATCCAATCAGGAATAATTTTTTATTATATTCGTTTTCGGTACCAACAGTATTTCAGTAATCGGCGTTGGTAGTATTGGTGATATTTATACCAAAATATCTATCTCCTTTATATTGAAAAGGTTGAGTGTTAATAAGATAACTATTAACTCCATCAGTTACGATTCGGGTGCCAAGGCCACCTACTTTGAAAAGAACTTGTTGTCTAGTCATGATTTTGTTTTGGGGTATAATGGAATATTTTAGTGAGAAGCCCATTAGCATTGCCATTGCTAATTATGGTCGTTTAAATATTATCAGTGAGATAGGAAAGTATCAAAAAGAACAATTAGTTTTCACATAAACTGATTGCTTAGGTTTATTGGTAGAGCCTAATTCTAAGACTAAGTTAGGAAGAGGATTAGGGGAGTTTAAGGTTAAAGAGTTATAGATTTTAGTTGTTTTTAGGAGCAACTTCAATATTAGCTTGCAATTGGGCTTGATACCATTGAAAAAACGCTTGCTTTAACTCTTGTTCCTGACCATATTTACTATTCATTCTGCGTCCTTACCTTTAACATCTCTTAGTCAGCAAGCATAACCAATATCAGTAGGTTTTAGTCCCACATCAATTCATTAGTTTCCTCATAACTAAAGCCTTTTCTTTCCACTCTTTTTGTAATTCTGGGGTAAAATCTTGTGTATTTCTTGCCAGTTTACCATAATTAATCAATTTTAGCACCTTACTTCTGCTCTTAAATCCCTTCGGCTCTACTTTCTTTTTAAATAATCTTATATGACTGAAAGAACCAAAAAAGAAGAAAAGAAAGAAACCAACCCAGAAAAATTGGATCAAGAACTAGCTAATTTAAATACCGAAGAAGTTGAATTTACTCCTCCTGAGTTTCGCACGGGAACTGTCTTGCGAAGATGGAAAAATATCTCAGTCAAAAATGACTTTTACTGGGTAGTAATCTTACAAGAACAGAACCGAGAAGAATTAGGTTGTATCATTTGGTGCAATTTCTTACCTCCTTTTCAAGAATTATTATTGGCTAATTTAACAGTAGGGCAAAAATTACAAGTCTTCGGAACTATGTTTGAAGACCGGAAATTTATGCGAGTTAGGAGGTGTGGGTTAATTACAAATTAAATTTTTTGATAAAAATAAAGCCAAATTACCAAGCAGAAAATAGCATTCTAAGCCAAAACTCGCGGATTATTCCTATCCACTTCTTTACTAACCAAAACTGGAAACTCAATAATTACCTTCTCATAAAGAGCACCGGCTGCTGATTTTGTAGTTTAACAATTCTTAGATCAGTTAACAGATTAATATCCTCCTCCACCGTGGGCTGATTTCTCTGTAAGGCTTGGGCTAACTCGGTTAAAGAATTAGGCTTCTTTTCCACTAAATATTACAATGCGAGAAAAAATTTTCCGCTTTTTAAGAACCATGAAAGTAAAAAAATCTAACAAAAGAATATGCCAAGAATACAAAAAGAATTAAAAAGACTAAAATTGACAAAATAAAAAAATGAGTCCGATTTTTATGAGCGCTCTCCTTTTCTTACTTTGGCCCAAGAATTATTAAGGTTAGTAAAAGAAGACAAAGTGAAAGTAATTTTCTTATCCGCTTATGATAAAAGAGTTTTCACCATGGGCGACCCCCGCAAAAAGAAAATATTTTTCGAAACCTTTGGTCAATTTCCTAACTTCTCTTTAAACTTGGTGGGGTTTGATAGTGAAGGAAAAGGCCAGAGTAAAAGCGAATGGGTTAAAGAAAATACTCCTGATAGCGAGGTTATTATAGACGATAATCCTTATATATCTTGCTAATACAATAAAAATAATGAAAAAATAATTACTCTGGCTCCCTATTATCCAACCATTAAACACCACAACAAAGTATTAATGGTTAAAACTTCAATAAGTGATTTTAAAATAAGTAATAGAGTAAATGAACACAGTCCTTATTTTTTTATGATAATGAAAAGTTATGAATAAAGAATTAGAAGCCAAAATTATTGCTTATTTAGAAAAATTAGAAAAAAACCAACTTTCCACCAAGTTAAACAATAAAAAAGAGAGTTTGTTATTAGCCAATAAGCAGGCATACGACCAATTAGTTAAAAGTCAAAAAGAATATCAGGAACTAGTTTCAGTCGCAAGCCAAGAGGAAAGTAATTTTTTGTTGACTGAAATTAAGCACCTGGAAGAACAAAAAGAGCAAATAATTGCTAAAATTAAAGAGCAAATAATGGAAACAGAAGGAACTAAACAAAACATTTTAATGGAAATTCGCCCCGGTACTGGGGGAACGGAAGCTGGATTATTTGCTCGTGACCTTTATCGCATGTATGTCAAGTTTGCCGAAAGGCAAAAATGAAAAGTAGAAATGGTGGAAAGTAAGGTCGATAGCGAAGGTAATTTTACTTTTGTGGCTTTTTTAGTGAAGGGGAAAGACACTTTTAACTGATTAAAAAATGAAGCCGGTGTTCACCGCGTCCAGCGTGTTCCCCAAACGGAAAATAAAGGAAGGATACACACTTCCACCGCCAGTGTGGTAGTTTTACCAGAAGCCCAAGATATTGCCTTAAATATTCGCCCACAAGATTTAAAAATTGATACTTATCGGTCCAGCGGGGCCGGGGGTCAGCATGTTAATACTACGGACTCGGCAGTAAGGATTACTCATTTATCTACTGGTGTTATTGCTACCTCCCAAGACGGACGGAGCCAGCATGATAATAAAGAAAAAGCCTTGTTTATTCTTAAAAGTCGCTTATTGGAAAAACTACAAAGTGATAAAGAAAAAGAAACGGGTAATTTGCGCTCCCGAATGATTGGCACAGCCGAGCGGTCAGAGAAAATTCGCACCTATAACTGACCTCAAAATCGGGTTACTGATCACCGCTTGGGAATTGGTTGGAACAAACTTAACTTTATTATAGAAGGAGACTTAGAGGAATTAGGACAAAAATTAATTGATTATGAAGTAGAAAAAATAGTAGAAAATTATCTACCTAATTAAATCACTATACTAATTAAGGCAATAATATAGAATTTTACACCAGCCATTTAAAATAAATTATCCCTTCAATCTTTTTTGCGAGCCCTGGACATTAAAGAAAAAGAATTACAAGGAGAATTACCTACGGATAATAATGTTCCGCCTACTCTGCCTCCCAAGCCTAATTCTATTGCCGAAAAACCCACAGGAATAAGTGGAGTGATAATTGTTCTGCTAGTAATTGGAATATTATTTCTTGTAGTTATTATTTTCTATATTAGCAAGAAAATCAACAATCGGTTTAGTGTGAGGAGGCGCAAAAGAAAAAATATTAAAAATGCTAATTACTATTAAAGACATTTACCAGCAGGCTGAAAAAATAAGCCGGTTAGAAAAAGTACAAGTTGGCGGCTGAGTGAAATCAGTCCGAGCCAGTAAAAAAATTATATTTGTCGCTCTTAATGATGGTTCTTGTTCGACCAATCTACAAATTATTTTTTCTTCCGAATTAACAGTAAGGTTAAGAACAATTAATTTTGGCAGCAGTTTAATAGCAAGTGGTAAACTAAAATTGACTCCGGAAAGAGAACAGATTTGCGAACTACAAGCTTGTGATATTGAATTTATTAACTCAACTAGTTCTGATTACTCCCTCCAAAAAAAAAATATTCCGCTAGAAGCGGTTCGTAATTTTCCCCATTTGCGGGCTAAAACTAATTATTTTTTAGCAATTTTTCGTCTGCGGCACTCTATCAGCAAAGCCGTTCATGATTTTTTTCACCAAGAAGGTTTTTATTATGTTCCTACTCCCATTATTACCAGTAATGACACGGAAGGAGCAGGTGAATTATTTAATATTACTACTAACGAAAAAGAACCGTTTTTTTCCAAACCTGCTAAATTAACCGTCAGCGGCCAACTCCATGCCGAAGCTCTGGCTCAAGGTTTAGGGAAGGTTTATACTTTTTCGCCTTGTTTTCGGGCCGAAAAATCCCATACTACCCGCCATTTAGCCGAGTTTTGAATGGTGGAGCCGGAAATGGCTTTTGCCAACTTGGAAAAAATAACCACTATGGCTGAGAAATTAGTAAAGCATGTAGTAAATTATATATTAATTAATAATATTAATGAATTAAACTTTTTAGAAAAATACAATAAAAAGGAACTGATTGCTAAATTAAAAAAAATTATCAGCGAAAATTTTAGAAAAATTGATTATGATAAATGTATCGAAATACTGGCCAAAAGTAAAAATTCTTTTGTTTTTAATGAGGTTAAATGAAGCATGGACTTGCAATCTGAACACGAAAAATATTTATGTCAGTATTTTGACAATAAGCCGGTTTTTGTGCTTAATTATCCTGCCCAATTAAAGGCTTTTTATATGAAAAACAATCCCGACGGAAAAACGGTGGCTGGTTTCGATTTATTGTTTCCGGAAATTGGAGAATTAATTGGCGGCAGTGTGCGGGAAAATAATTATCAATTTTTAATAGCCAAGGCTCGAAAAATAGGCTTAGATATCAATAACTTACAGTGATATTTTGATTTACGAAGATATGGTTATGCTCCCAGTGGCGGCTTTGGTTTAGGTTTAGAAAGGTTAATAATGTTTATCAGTGGCACCGAAAACATTAGAGATACGGCTGCTTTTCCGCTGTATCCTAAGCACTTGGAGTTTTAGAGTTTGTGACTGTTTTTTCTCAACCATTTTACATTGTAAGCGGGCATTAATAAGTAGTATCCCTATATTGAATTTGTAATGAAACAAGTAAGAAAGCAGACGAGAATTGAAAAATAATCATGAACGACCAAAGAACTGTCCCTAAACAATCATTAGCAAGGTTGTTCTCCCAAGGATTTAATGAGTTTTGGCAGAAAACAGCCTTAAAAGAAAGTTTAGAAGCTGTGAAATATGATTATGTGCCTGCTACCTTAACTACCGAAGAAACTTGAAAAACCTTAATGAGTGGTTTTGGTTTAAATGTTGTTTTCGTTTTTCATCAGAAATATAATCAATCGTGCCCCGATATTTACCAGTAATCACTTGGACTAAATCACCAGTTTTTAATTTTGCTTTGGGATTTGACATAATTATTTAATATGGAAATTATTACCTATATGCTTTATTTTAATAGTAATTTTTCTTAATCTAAAAATTAGTTTTTACAAAAAAAGAACTGGCTATACTATTATTTAAACTACGCCTCTAAAACTTCTTATTATGAATAATTTAGGGCAAAAATCTCACTATACTACTAATTATATAAGGCAAAGTTGATTAGATATTTTTCAACAAAAAGGTTATTGTTTGTTAGAACCTTCTTCCCTCATTCCGCAAAATGACCCTTCTTTGTTGTGAATTAATTCGGGTGTTGCCACACTAAAAAAATATTTTAATAACCCTAATTTAGCACCTTCTCACAATTTGGTAAACTGTCAACGAGTAATCCGCACGGATGATTTAAATAATATCAATGCTCAATCTTATCACCAAACTCTTTTTGAAATGCTGGGCTGCTTTTCTATGGGCAGCAATTTTAAGACAGAAACTATTCCAATTATTTGGGAGTGATTTACTTCGCCCAAGTGGCTAAATATGAACCCGCAAAATCTTTTTATTACTGTCTGAGAAAATGATAAAGTTAGTTGCGAAGTTTGGAAGAAGCAAGGGGTGAAGAAAAACCATATCCTTTTTGGCAGTAAAAAAACTAATTTTTGAGATATGGGTGATGGTCCTTGTGGACCCAATACCGAAATATATTTTGATTTTCAACCCGAGAATAATTTACCAAAAAAAATTGAAGAATTAGATAATAAGCGATTTATTGAGATTGGTAATATTGTTTTTCCCGAATTTTATCACAAAAGGGAAGGATATTTGCCTTTGGCCGAAAAATGTGTCGATGCTGGGGCTGGGTTAGAACGAATTGCCATGGTTCTCCAAGGCAAAAAAAATACTTTTGAAATTGACTTATGAGAGACAGTTATTAAAATAATAGACAGTTATTATCAAAAAAGCGAAAAATAAATTATCATGGTAAGAGAGTATAAATGTCGAGGCTGTGAAAATAAATTAACAGACATTTTTCCTAACCTTCTTTATCTAGAATAGCCATAATTATTGTGCCTCTAATTTGCCTATACTTATTATTTTAGGGTTATATCACTCTAAACCTTTACCCTAAATTCCTCTGATGATAAATTGGATGATTAGCACTCTCTAAACTGCCTAAACTAGGAATAATTAAGGGGTAATCTTTTCAAATTCAATCCTCTTTTAAAACTAATTCGACATACAGATTACGGGGATTAATGTGTTGATAATTATCAATCGTGTAAACTCGGAAATATTTCTGATGAAAATTAACTATAAAAAGATAAGGATTATTCAAACTAAAACCTTTTCTGTTTTGGGTGGTAATTACTAATCCTCTTTCACTATCTTCTTTAATGACTCCTAATTGAAAGAAAGGTTTGCCATCACTAATAATTTCAGAACCTAATAAAAAAAAGGCTTCTATTTGCTCTTTAAATATGTCTAATTGTTGCTTTCATTCACTTTTAGCACCTTTACCTTGTTCTCAACCTTTTAAGTAGTCTCCTAATTCTTGTCAAAACATTTTGGCCTTTTTCATTCTTGCTAACGATGCTCGCTTCCGTGAATTCAAAAATAATCTCGCGGGCAAAGTTAGGAACACACAAAGGTAATTGATTAAGAGTTAAGAGGAATAGGGACAAATTCTTTGCAGTAATAAATAGTCTCACTATTTTGGCAGAGCTTGGCAAAAACTTTGTTTTTTTTCTCATAAATAGTAAAAGTAATTCAACTACCTTTTTCTAAGATAAAGCCCTGACCGCCAAAGTTAGCCGCAAATTGTCTTTCTTCGGGGATTTCGTATAATCTTTCTGGTTCGTTGGCTTTAAGCCGTCAGAGACGGTTAGTTAGGTAGTCGTATTTAAACTTCATGGCGACAAATTGCTTGGTTGATATTTGTTTCATTCTTTCACAATTTACTATAATCCGCATAAACATATTCAAAATCATTCTGAATGTATTTCTCGGTGGTTTGCACACTACTATGGCCGAGTAATTGCTGAATGGTTAATAATTGAGCTCCATGGGCTCCATTCTGATATAATTAAAGTGGCAAAACTTCTACAAAAGTTTTATTCCTTCGCCCTTTATAATACTTTACTACTCCGTCATATTCGGCATGAACCGTGTAATCTTTACCTAAAAATACCCCTTTGCCATTTTTATATTTAGTTCCGCGCTGGCGAATAATAATGCTGCCTTTTCGCACATATTCACCCCCGAACTTTTTCACTCCCAGACGCTTGGAAATTGAATCGTGACTACGATTAGTAGCCGCTGAACCACCCCCTTTTTTTTGGGCAAAAAACTGTAAATCTAATGGGAATACTAACATAATTCTTTTATTAGTAATTATTTTATAACTTTTTTACCAAATAGCAAAGAAAATATTCTCCTTACATCACAACCAGAATTTCACAGAACCGCCAGAAAATTAAATATAACAGTTAAAATATTATATTATTGCCAAAAATACTTTTTCAACCTAACAAAAAATCAGGGCAAAACTTCCTTTTTGATAAGAACTATCTACGAAAAATAGTTGCTAATTGTTCCACCGAGCCTAACGCAATAATAATCGAAATTGGCAGTGGTTATGGTAGTTTAACTGATTTATTGGCTGAAACTAATTGTCAAAAAGTTATTAGTTGTGAAAAAGACCAAAAATTATTCCACTGATTAGTAGCCAATAATGAAAATGAGAAAATTACCTATCTTCATAAGGATGCTTTACATGTTAAGTGGTCAGAATTTTGCTTGCCTTATAAGGATAATTCACTAATAGTTGTTGGTAATTTACCTTATTATATAACCAACTCTTTAATAGTTAATTTGTTATTTGATTATCACTTTTTTAAATCTTTGGTTTTTTTAGTGCAAAAAGAAGTGGCTCAAAAATGAGTAGCCAGCCCCCATAAATATTCTTCCAAGTACTCAGCTTTATCAGCTTTTATTAATTATTTAGTTGAGGTTAAAATTGTTTTGGAAGTTCCGCAGCAAGTTTTTATTCCTTCTCCGACGGTGGATGGAGCGGTAGTAGTAATCAACTTTAATCAAAATATTAATATATCAAAAGCCCAATTAGCTGCTTTTTTACGTTTCCTAAAAAATTGTTTTCGCTTCCGGCGAAAAACTTTGTTAAATAACCTTGGTAGTTTTGCCGGCAATTGGGAAACAGAGTGAGAAAAATATTTCCACCACAAAAATTATTCTCCCAAAATCCGTCCGCAAAATCTAACTCCGGCGGAATATTGAGAATTATTCCTTTTTTGACAAGAAGTTAGCAAAAAATAAATTAAGGTTGACGCTTTTGCTATATTTAGTTTTTCATAACACCTTATAAATCTAGACAGCTCATCTTTAGAGAAAAATGCTTAAAAACTCTAATAAATTAATGTTCCCTAGCAAATACGATTTTCATTTAACTGAAAAAAAAAATAATAATCATTTAGATTACTGACAAGAGGTAGTAGTCAACATTTCTCATAATTTTGTTAGCACCCTTCTTTTACCTCCTCCTAATATTACTGGTAATTTACATTTGGGACATGCGTTTGAATCAGTTATTCAGGATTTTCTAGTACGCTTTTCTTATCTTAACCAAAAACCAATTTATTGAATTGCCGGAATTGATCACGCTGGTATTTCTACTCAAAGCAAAATTGAAAGTTTAAAAATTGCGGAACTTAACACTAATGAAAAAAAATGAGCCTACACTTTTCAAAATTGGTATCCCCAAACCAGAAAAAACTTTTATCAACAATGAGAAAAATTGGGTTTATTAATTGATTATGAACGAGCCAGTTTTACGCTGAACACCGCTATCCAAAGCCAAATGCGGGAAGCGTTTGTCAAACTTTACCAGGACAGATTAATTTATCGGGGAGTAAGATTAGTAAATTGAGACCCGCAACTAAAAAGTGTTATTTCGGATATAGAAGTGGAGCATAAAACTAGTGTCAGTAAATTATATTATTTAAAATATTCGCTCCTAGCTAGTAATGATTATTTATTGGTTGTCACCAGCCGTCCTGAAACTATTTTTGCGGATGTGGCTTTATTGGTTAATCCCCAAGACCAAAGATACCAAAAATATTTAGGCCAACAGGTTCAACATCCCTTCACGAAAAAAATTATACCAATTTTAGCTGACCAAAGCGTGAAAATAGATTTTGGCAGTGGGGTTTTAAAATGCACGCCTGGTCACGATTTTACTGATTATGAATTAGGCAAAAAACACCAATTACCCCTAATTAGTTGCTGTAATGAAAAAGGAGTTTTAAATGAATTAGCGGGACCTTACCAAAAACAAGTAATTGGTAGTGTTAGAGAAAAATTAGTAGCCGAATTAACCAATCAAGGTGTTTGTGAAAAAATAGAAAATTACGAAACCAACTTGGTTTATTCTGCCAAATCAGGAGTGATAATTGAACCTCTACTTTCGCGACAATGATTTTTAGATTTGCCAGCTTTAATTAAGCAAGTAGAAAAAAAACAGCCCAATTTTCTGGCCCAAATGAACTTTCTCCCGAGCCAACTTCACCAAGTATTAGAAAATTGAAAAGAAAAATCCCAAGCCTGGTGCATTTCCCGCCAATTATGGTGAGGACACCAAATTCCGGCTTGATATCATAAAAAAACAGGAGAAATTTATGTAGGGATAAATTCACCCCAGCGAGAAGCAGAATGAGAAAGAGAAAATGATGTATTAGACACTTGACTTTCCAGCGGTTTGTGACCGCTGATTGCTTTAGCCAAAGAAGGAGAAAGGTTTCCTTCTCCACCACTAAATTGTTATCCGATAACTACTCTGATTACAGGTTATGATATTCTTTTTTTTTGAGTGCTAAAAATGATACTGCTAGGAACCTACTTTACTGGGCAAGTGCCCTTTCACCAAGTATTATTTCATGGGCTAATTCGGGACAAATATGGCAAAAAAATGTCCAAATCTTTAGGAAATGGTGTCGAACCTGAACTCTTGATTGAAAAATATGGCTGCGATAGTTTACGACTTTTTTTCCTAGAAAATAATATTTGGGGTTCAGATTTAGTTTACCAAAAAGAAAAAGTTATTAGCAGTTGGCGTTTTTGTCAAAAACTTTGGAGCATTGCCAATTTGATAAAAAGTAAAATACCTGCCACCGAATTACGGAAAATCCAGAAAAAGGAATTAGAAAGCATATAAATTTGCCCAAATGGTGAAAATAAAAACCTCAAATAAGTCCACTGATAGCACCCGAAATTACCGCTAAAAACGTTTAATATCTTTAATTAATTATGGGATTAATATAATATATATAGTGAACCAAACTAACTTTACCCCAGTCAGTAATTAGGTTTAAGCATCTTCACTAATTACTAACTTTTTCACTTTTAGTCTATATCTTAATTTTATATATAAGCCTGTATACAAGGTTAAAGTTAAAAATTACAAATATGAGTAAAAAAGGAGCAGAGCCTTGTCAAGAATGCCAAGAAAAAATTAACCAAATTGAAGATTGAGAAGACAAAGAACGAATAAAAAAAGCCATTACCGAACATTGTCGTAAACAAACAGAATATAACGGTAATCACCATTTTTTTATTGTCAGCAAAGAGAAAAAATGCCCTGAATGTGGGGAAACAAATAAGGAAAAGAAGTATACAGGTTTAGCAATTAATACTACTATTTCCGACCAAAAAAAACCTCATGCTTGTAATAATGATAATAACAGAGAGAGAGAGAGAGAGAGAGAGAGCGGAATTAGAGAAAAAAGGGGAAGTAATATTTCCCTTCTTTCCTGACTAACTGATCTTTTATTCGCTTAGTAGTTTGAGCCATTTCACGAGTAAATATTACGACACTTGAACTCAATAAATCATTAAAGCCTTTTTTTTGGCGTGGAAGTAGTTAGGTTGTAAATCTCCAATTAGTCTGATTTCCGTATTAGGGATAGATAATTGGTAAAGATTGGCTTCTGAGACGAATAACTTAATTTCTCTTTTTTTGGCATATTTGTCAAAGAAGTCAATAATTTTTAACTTAGTTC